TTTAAAATATATTTTTCTGCGTGTATATGTGGTGAATGTATAACAGTTCTGTATCAACCAGTGTTGTAAATTCAATTTTAAATAATTCAATTATTGCTTAATACTAAAACATCCAACATTTCCGCCCTCCTTGAAACTAAGTTTCAACATACCTGAACAAGCCTAGCTTATGTTAGATAACGTTCAAAAATTTTGCTTAATCTCTATTCGATGAATTCAATTAATATCGGCAGAATCCTCGGTGGGTAACGGGCAGATGCGGTTTGCTGGACGCCTGTAGGTCCCTTTAGACGTCTTGATTGTCATCACTCGTATAACTCCGTCTGCGCCAGGGTGAACCTCGGTTATCCTCGCTAGGGGCCATTGAAGTGGTGGTAAGTTGTCCTCCCGAAGAATCACGATGCTGCCTACACGGATGGTGCTTGGTAGACGGTTCTTACTTGCTTCCTGAAGTCCAGTGATGTACTCTTGACTCCAACGCTGCCAGTATCGTTGGAACATCTGCTGCCGTTGCTGATAGTGGGCTAAGCGGTTAGTGGGTATGGCTGTAAGATCGGGATCGGGGAGGGCTTTCATAAAAATCCCGATCAAAAAATGGGCTGGTGTTAGGGCATCGAGGTCTCTAGGGTCGTCTGATAATGGGGCTAGAGTTAAGGGCGGCCGATATTTGTACGAGCAGGGTGCAGAAGTTTTCATGACTCAATTGGTTCGTACCGACTTCCTTTTTCAGGCAACTTTTGGCGGAGCGTACTGCTGCCTCCCACAATCCACCGAAATTGGGGGCACGGAGTGGAATTAAATGCCAGGATATTCCTTGCTGTGACATTTCAGATCCAATAGTTTCTTGGGCAGCTTTGCTGTTGAGGCTCTTGTACAGCTCGTACAATTCGTGTTTAGAGCCTTGGAAATTTGTAGCATTATCTGAATGGATCTGCGATGGAAGTCCATGGTGTCCAATGAATCGGCGAAGTGCAGATAAGAATCCAGCAGTTGACAGGTCCATGACTAGTTCCAGGTCTATCGCTTTGGTCGTAAAGCATATGAAAACTGCAATGTAACATTTCGGTGGGGCTGCTCGACGGTGAGGGGGGTCTAAGTAGAAGGGTCCACAAAAGTCCACGCCAGTTATGAGAAACGGCCGAGCTGAGCGTACTCGCGTAGATGGAAGCTGTCCCATCGGTTGTTCAATTTGTGGAAAAGTTCAACTATTTGGGTTATTGTTCGTTTATGGTATTTGTTTATTAGGGCGGTGATTTATGTGGAACTTGATAGCGCCTTTTCAAGGAGTTGATTTCTTCCAAGAGACATTCTTCTTGAACCAGCCGCACGAGGGCCATTTTTGCAGATAAACTCATGGACACTCAAAAATAACGAAGTGTTTCTTTGGGTGGATTTTCGGCAGTTGGCAGCAAACCGTAAGCATAATGCGACTATTCTGACTAACGGAAGAAAAGAAGATCGAAGAGTGAAGAAGATGTTGGGCTCTTTCGAGGCAGCGGTTGCTTGAACGACGACTCGGGGTTCCAGATCTACTTCGTCAGGTACGGATCCAGGACATTCCGTCAGCCATTCTTTCGGCGCCAGCTTCAACCATGACGGTCCGTGCTTCCAACGATCACTTTCCAAGAAATCCTCAATGGTCATTCCACGTGAAACCAGATCTGCGGGATTCTCCTTACCGGATACATGTAGCCATGGGTGTCCATAGGTGGTTGTTTGTATAGTCGAAACACGGTTTGCTATGAAAGTTTTCCACGAATTTGGCGGAGCTTTCAACCAATGCAGAACAACAGTTGAGTTCGACCAGAAAAATGCCTGCACTCTATCTAGTGCGAGGGCCCCAATAACTGTCTGATATAGATGCGCAGCTTCTCTAGCTGCGCATAGTTCTAATCTCGGGATCGTCAATCGTTTTAAGGGAGCGACCCGAGATTTCGAGGACAAAAGCTCAATGCGTACGTTGCCCTGTTGATCCATGGAACGCACATATAAGCAGGCTCCGTACGCAAGATCGGAGGCGTCAGCAAAACAGTGGAGCTGTACGTCGACGTAGTCTAGGATGAAGGAGAACCTGGGTATGCTGAATTCTGCTAATTTGAACAGTCGGCGATGGAAATCCGTCCACTTTTGCTGTAGTTGTGGTGGTACTTTGCAGTAGCGCCAGCTCTTGCATAATTATTTTTGCAGTCACCACTAAGGGAGAGATCAATCCTAGGGGATCGAATAGTTTGGCTATTGCAGATAATATGCGCCTTCTGGTCCATTCTCCTTCTTCCTCTCCAACATTATATAAGAACCTAAGCTGGTCCGCTTTCGGTTCCCAAGTAATCCCTAGCGTTTTAACCTTTTCATCGGGATTCAACTTAAAGGTTATTGTAAGAACAGTACCCAACTGGTCCTCAGGAATACCGGATAGGACTTCAGGCTGATTCGAGCACCATTTCCGGATTGGAAATCCTCCTTTGGCCATCAAGGATGTCAAATTTTTTCTAAGCTCGATGGTTGCAACGACATTTGCGGATCCTCCAATATAGTCGTCGACGTAAAAATCCTTTTGTAGCGCTAGGCGAGCTTTAGTACCTTCAACTCCTTCATCTTCAGGCAGCTGTTGTAGTGCCCGGGTTGCCAGAAAAGATGACAGTGTAAGCCCATACGTTAGGTCAGTAACTCGTAAACATCTATGGGATCATCCTTCGTTAAGCGTATCCGTAGACGAAGAGTGTCATTAGCGTCCTGAAGTACCTGCCGATACATTTTTCCACATCTCCCACAAGCGCCACTTCATGCTTGCGGAAGCGTATCAGGAGATTTAGCAGATCATCCTGAATTGCAGGTCCCTTCAAAAGAACATCGTTGAGGGAGTATCCGCTGTCTGTACGTGCCGATGCGTCAAATACGACGCGCACTTTTGTAGTTGTGCTTGATTCTTTTATCACCGCGTGGTGCGGCAAATAAAACACCTTCCGTTGACCTACTCCGTTGGCCTCTGCCTGCAGTTCCGTTGTCGTTAGCCTTCGCATGTGCCGCATGTCCACGTACTCCTTCATGAAAGCGTGGTATGGTTCCTTCATATCCGGGTGCCGTTCCAACCGATTCTCCAATTTCTTGTACCTGTCCAACGCCGTTGCTCGTGATTCTCCCAACATCCGGTTCCAGCTATTTTGTTTCGGCAGCTGCACGATATACCGGCCATCTTCTGCTCTGGAATGCGTACTCTTGAAATGCTCCTCGCAGTCTTGTTCCTCCTTTGACCATGCAGGTCGGTCGTCACAGCTTTCTACTCTCCAGAACTTCTCCAATAGATCTTCCATTCTCTCGATAGGGGTGACTGCCGTGCAACATCGAACTGACTGTTTCTGCTGTAGACTTTCATCACGTCCGGATACAATCCACCCGAATACCGAATCCACGAGTATTGGCAGCTTTGGACCCAACACCATTCTTTTCACCTCTCTATCGCGCAGGAAACTGAAGAAATGTTCCGCTCCTAGTAGCAAATCAATGCGGCCGCTTATGTTGAATTGTGGATCCGCCATCTGCAGGTCATGAGGAATATTCCAATGCTTGATAGGAATCGTAACCGAAGGAAGTTCAGGTGTCACTCGCTGCAAAACCAGGAAATCCAATTCAATAGAGAAATCTGTGACTCTGGACTTAACCGTTGTATTCACTGCATGTCTTGCCGTCGATTCCGACTGTCCAACTCCTGTTATGAGAACGCATATTGCTCGACGTTTAAACATCAGATTGATCTGCGATCCATTATCCAGCAACGCTCGGGTTAGCTGTGTACCACCCTTTTGATCCCGTATCGCCACGACCACTGTTGAAAGGAACACCTTGGAACTCAAAATTTCCTTTTTCGTTCCAACGCTATATGATCCGACTGTGACTCCTTCGGCTGCTTCGATTTGTTCTTCTTCCGCTGTGTCTGCTGCAACGTGCGTCCTAGCTGCGTCGCTTTTGCCATTGCTGCCTCCTCCATTACCAGGTTGAAACCCCGGATGTATCAAAGTGTTGTGCTTCTTCCCACATGTCTTGCAGCTAAACTTTGACGAGCAGTCACGTACCCAGTCACCCGTTTTGAAGCAGTTGCTGCATAGCTGTTTTCCGTTGACGAAGTCCAACTTTTCTTTTAGTCCAAAACCCTTGAATTTTGCGCACCGTACCAAATAATGCAATTCACCACAACATTGGCAGGTTGGATCACTTTTTCCGCCCTCCGTAGACGTGTGTACAGTCACGCGCTCTCGTTTAGCCGCCGCCTTCGGATGAGCAGAGCCGGTGTTGGATAACACAGCTTCCAAAACCCTCGTTCTTTTCTCCAGAAAGTCCACCAATACCGCGAATGTAGGTTCCCGTAACGATGCAGCGTGATCCTCCCATAGCTGCAGAGTATGCGCATCCAGCTTTGAACACATCCAATGGATGATCATCGCTCCCCAGTGCTCCGTCTTTTCGCCCAGCTGCTTCAAAATCTTCAGCCGTTGATCGAACTCGTTCACCAGTCTATGTATTCGCCCAGCCGACTCCTTCTCGATCCTCGGGAATTCCATCAATGCCTGAAGATGGCGCTTCTTCAGCAAATATTCATTCGAGTACCGCTTGGTGATGGTGTCCCATGCTATTATGTAGTTTCCGTTTGTGATCGTTAGAGACTCGATCAGTTTAGCTGCCTCCCCTTTCAGTGCAGACTTCAAATAATGAAATTTTTACACGTCGCTGAGTTCATTTGAGTCGTGAATCAGCGACACGAACGTAGATTTGAAAGACAGCCAGCCCTTGTAATCCCCGTCAAACTCTGGTAATGAAATTTGTGGAAGCCGAACCCCTGTGTGCACACCCAATGAAGCATTATTCCGACCAAGAGTATTATCCAAATTTGCTGCTGGTGTAGTAGGTTCTAATTTACTCAAAAAAGCAGCCCGAATCGCATAATATTGCTCTTCGAAGTCGACGTATGCTTTACTAGTCTCCGCCTCTACTTCGCCTTTCGCATCTAGCTCAGATATTTCGTCCTGCAAATCGTTAAAATCCTTCCAAGATGCCTCTAACTTGTCCAACCTGGATTGAACATGCCCTTGTTTACTTTCCGGATCATATGCATCCAAAAATTGCTTATGCCGATCCAAAGCAGCAAAAATGCGCTCGCGCATCTTAAGATTTTCCTTAAGTTTTGTAACCATACCCACACTATCAGATAAGTAACGTTCCACAAGCAAAGGTCCGGAAAAGATAGACAAAAAAGACCCAGGAAGTACCGCTGATAGGACTATAAAGTCAATAGACAGTCACTCACCTGTGACTTGTCGAATTCAGGCCTTGTATAAATTTCAAATGCGCCAGCTATCAGCCCTCCGCAACCATATACGGTCCTTTGCTTCGTTACTTTCCAATGATAACCGTTGCAAAATTTGCAAAGGATGATCCCTACCCGTGAAGAAGGAAATCCAATGCCGTTTCCGTCGAATCAATCAATGAAATGGAAAAAAACATCTTACGCAGCACCACCAAACCAGAATAAAAAATGTTGGACAGCTACTAACCTGTAGCCTGTCAACAATAGGCCTTGATTTTAATTTATATTCTCGCCTCACGCTTCCCAAAACCGTTTAAGCATATGCATGTGAAGTACTCAACGTACTCCTCGATCCAGCAAAATCGCTTTCCGCCAATCGCCCAAGTCAACCTTCCTTGCCAACGGTTTGATCGTATCTGCCGTGTATGGGTCCTCACCAGCTCTGGTCTTCACCGCCCGACGTCATATGATCCCTTTCGTAACTAATCTCGTTGTAAACACTCCGACGAATATATCATGTAGAGATGTCTCCGTTCCGTAGGTACCGTGTCGATTCAAATTTCGGACACTTAAACTCGAATTTCGGACACTTTTAAAAGTTGATTATCTCGGTCGAATATGATCCACATGTCTTGTAAATTTTAAATTTTTTTGACTAGTGCCCTCCACGATCATCTAACATTATTACTTTGTTTCTAACTGGATGTAATATTTAATTAAAAATGAAAGTGTCCGAAATTTGAATCGTCCGAAATTTGAATCGGAACGGCATATGAAATTGGTGAAAGAGATCCAAGTAGTACAACAAACAAAAAGGGTAATAGATTGGACAGGCACTCACCTGAGGCCTGTCAACAAGAGGCCTTGTATAATATATACTGCCCATAATCGCATATCAGTCCCATATGGATATGAAATCAAGCAAAGATGGGACTGATATGCGATTATGGGTAGTATATATATAGCAGAAACCAGCAATACCCAATACGAATGTATATACCTTGCTCGGTAACCGTTATCCGGATCCTCACGTGTAGTTCGAGTCCAGCCGTATCCAACCGATGCTCAGATGAACCAATCTGACTGTGCCCTGGGTGTTGATCAGACCAAATTAAAACAAACTTTCGATTCGTAGATCAGTTTGATGTTGTTCTTCGATTAATCCACACGTATCGACGTTCAATGCCCCGACTGTTTGAATACCCCACAGTGCGCTTAGTTTCAAAGACTAATCGATGTTTATCATTCACTAATCGTCCTGACTCCAGTGTAGAATGTAGCATTCAATTGTCGAAGTGTTGCTACGTCGCGTTGTATATCGCCAATCGCACGACCACAAAAGTTGCAGTTAGCCCCACAATATTGTGTAAGATGATCCGTTGGGTGGTATAAGTAAAGGGAGCAGATTAACTTGCCGTTGAAATATTTCACCGCAATTGTCTCCTCAAACTGCCAGCAAACATGGCCTTGGCGCCATCCAAGTCCTCGTAACAATACGACAATGATCCAATTGTCCTCAGCACCGACGCTTCCCTACTCAACCGTTGATCCTGGTCACGGCACCAATGTTGAGGGATTTAGGTTCGTTGGTTGAGCTGAATACTCCGTTTGCCTTTCCGTGCTCCAAATATACACCTTGTAGCCACCGTCATGTACCGTAGATCCTACGTTGTGTGTTTGTCCAGAATCGTACTATTTTTCCTTCCAATTCCGATCCTTTCCAAATATCCTAGGTATCCTTTTGCTCCTCTTGTTTCCTTTTCTTCCACAAATGCAATAGAACTGAACCAATTCCACTTCCAAACACTTTATTTCAGGACCAAAGTTTAATACACTTTATTCGTACGGGTTTGTAAAGCGCGCGCGTATATATTTTTTGCCTTTATTCGTTCGCTATCGGTTGGCTAACTAAATTCATTGTTTCGTTATCTGTCCTAGGAATTCATGTACTGTCTCTTCGTGTTCTATTCGTATTGAGTGTTCATTTAGGTACTAATAGTGTAAGTATTTAGTGAGTGTCTTCTATATGTGGTGAATGTATAACAGTTCTGTATCAACCAGTGTTGTAAATTCAATTTTAAATAATTCAATTATTGCTTAATACTAAAACATCCAACAGATGTGTTCTCACTTGCTGACTTTTTGGGAAAAACCTGTAAGTGGTAAACTGTGGGTAAGAGAAGGGTAAGGACATGAGAAATGCGATAAAGGGAAAAGGTTTATTTACGCATACACAACATTCTGATTGGGTAGCGAGTTGCGCAAGCAGTTGAATGTTTGTAACTAGAACGTTCAGCAAAACGGACCAAGAGCAATATCGCTGCTAATGACGATTTTCAATTTGAGAATACCTCCCACATTGAATTTCATCTTGAACGAAGCCATCATCGTCATTGAATACTCAAACATCCGGAAAATAAATGCTAACTATCACCTTCTCTCTCATTCAGCATCTTCTGCTCTTGCAACTGAGCCGCCTTGTTGAATTGTCCGCATTCACAAAAAAACGAAGCCATCTTGGCATTAAATCGTCGTTAAACATTCAAGCAAACATAAAACTAAAGCTACCCATTTTTTTTTAATTTTCATTACGGAAATCGAATGACTATTAAGTAGCTTCCATTATATTTTATTTTGAAGATGCAGGATAATAATTGTTGTAACTTTACTTTAGTAATGTAATTTAATTTATTAAAAACAAATTAACAAAAGCCCGAATCGGGAAAGCAACAAAATGGACCGGTGCGAGTGCGTGCGCGCGGTCCACTTTGTCGCTTTCCCGAGCTTTTTCGGCCTTTCGTGATTCGGCCTTTTGTGTATTTCGGCCTTTTGTGATTTGGCCTTCTGTGATTCGGCCTTTTGTGATTCGGCCTTTCGTAGTACTCCCCATTTTCTCACTATGAACCTGTCATTTCTAGCCTATCTTAACTATTTAATAAAAGGAAACTATACCATATGGGTTACGCTCCCCCTAAGCGGGCCCTCCGCATTCTATCTCTGCCTTATCTCAAATGCCAAAGGTTTGAATGTATCAATATATACATTGGAAATGACGTTCAATCAAATAAACCCATACCCCACTCACTTGGTCAGGCTTCAGAATCGTCCAGTGGGCAGTGCGCTCTACACTCCAAGTTCCCTTTCTTTCAAATTCATCCCAAATTTTATATTTTACCCCTTTGAGTGTTGATTGATCACAATGAAACATTGTGACAGAGCACGGACTTGAGGTTACTAGAGTATTAAATAATCTAGGTCCTATTTAGGATTATATCTGAAAAATCCAAATTTGGCCAACGTCCACCCAAAATTCATTGTATTTTAAATGAATAAATGTTTTCAATTCGATGTCCAGACACATTAAACTACACTGACAGAATTCAAGAGACATTGCATTTCACACGTTAAAGCTGTCTTTTGAATTGATAAATTATGTATCTTGACGAAGTTTTTAACGGATTATTGTATATGGATAGCTGTCATAACGAATTATTGTAGCACGGAAAAAAATGTGTTCGCCACGATGGTGATGATAGATTTTTAATATTTGATTTAATAGTAGTAGATTTAAAAAAAAATGTAGTCCACAAAGGTTTGAGCCTCGCGCGTATTACGGATATAGAGGACTGAATTTAAAATTTGATTAAAAAAATGCAATTTTGAAGCTTATTTGGAAGATACCTTGAGGTTAGTAGTAAGTTTTCTGGCAAATGTTGGGGGTTCGTGAGCATTCCTGACATTGCTGATAATTATGATAGCCTCAGATTGCGGGGTTGCTAGTGAGTGTAATAGGACGCTTTGTTGATTGTTCATTAACTCTTGTCATAAGTGTTGTAAAAAGGACAAAAAGGAGAACTAAGAGGCGGATGTCTGAGCTTTTCCCCATTTGCTGAGAAGCAACTGTAAACCTAGAGGGAATTTCTACATGTAACTCGATTTTGTTTGTTATCCTGGTTAAAATGTCATATTTAATTATCTTAAAGATAAATCGTCCAGCTCAAACCTTGGTAGGGATAAGAGGTGGGACCATCATCATCATCATCATCATCATCATTTACATAGAAATGTTTTCGATGATGTTACTGTGTATTTGAACAATAATTGTTTGCATCTTACCTTCAAAATAGATTCCCTAATCGTCAGCGTGCAATAGTACCAAACTAAGAGAAACATAAATGCAAGTTCCAGAGCTCTAAAATAACAAGACAAAATGATGATAGAGCGATTAATTATAAAAAAAAAACCAATGTAACATTACCTATAGTTAACAACGATATTCAGGAACGACAAAAATAAGCCAATAACGTTCAAAATCAGTTTAAACTTTTCGTAGTCATCTTTGTAACGAACCTTATCGCTTCTATTCAAGATTGAGACATTGACGTCCCCAAGAATAATGTTTAAATAGAAACTATTCTTTTGCGGTAAGCCTTGTTCGATTTCATGCAATTGAGCCTTCCGTTTCAGCATGTTTTTGTTCAATTCCGCTAATGAATCTTTCTCCTCTGGAGTGAGCCTCTTGTCTTTCGTGCATCTGAAAATGAGATAAAAATATGCGTTAATAATGCTTAATAATTTATAATGAGACGAAAATAACGCGTTAACAAACGGTCATGCAGAACACAGTCGAAAGCTCGCTTGGCATTGGTAAAACCTTGAGGTAGCTTGAAAACTAACAATGTCTCAGGGCGTATCTGCATCTTTAACCAAACGGGAAAGATGCACACCAGTGTTGCCAGGGGTGACGTGTGTTTGTGTGTGTATTTACAATCTAACTCTATCGCAACTCCAAATGCCCATTTCAAGAACGCAAGTATTCCGAAGCAATTGTCGTATACGATAAGCCCCGCTCCAATTCATTTCAAAGTGGGAATCATTAACCCTCATGTGATCGACAGGGTACCCGGGTACCTTTTCAGATTTCAAGTTAATAAATTATAAAGTTATTTTCACGACAGGAAACCAGAATTCAGTGACATCTTAGAACTCATGGAGTGACAACTTTTCGTGAAGAAAGATTTCAAATTGCTGCAAGGGGCTTCGAAAGGGGGGGTCGTGAAATTTTTTACCCTTAAACAGCTCGACAAGGGTACCCGGGTACCCATAAAATTGAACTGCTTGCTACTGCGGCCAATGTTAACCGATTCTGAATCTTTTGGCACTAATGGATTCAGAAACTTATCTTCTTTCTGGACATTGCCAACAATGTCCATCCGGAATAGTCTGGTTCCCAGAAATCCGGATTTTCTGTATAATGTTCCAGAACTAAAGCTGGGTTTAGATAGGGCAAGTCAATTGATAAAGTCAGTTGAACTGACTTGAACTCGAATTGAACGTGTAAACCATGCCATTCAACTGACTTGATCAACTCACTTGAATTGAAAAAAGTTGAACCAGGCTCAACTTTTCAAGCCAATTGAATTCAACTGAGTTGATCATTTGACTTGCCCTATCTAAACCCAGCTTAAGCATTTTCTTGGCACTTTCGCTAGAATTTTGAAGGAATCGATATCAAAGTATCAGAATTTCCTTCAAAAACAATTTCAGCTTACTTGAGAACCAGTTTAAGGTTTCTCCCCGAAACGGCCATTTCGGCGCAGGTTCCCATAGGGCCTCTAGTGGCCATAGAAGTGTTTTTGAAGAAACCCCTGCAATATGGGTATCCAAATTCAAGAATTTACAGCAGGAGACTGTTTATCATAAATTTTGTGGTCATCCAAAGAATTCTCCCCGGGACGGCCATTCCGGCGCAGCTTCCCGTAGGGCCTCTAGTGACCATAGAAGTGTTTGGGAAGAAACCCCTGCAATATGGGTATCAAAATTCATGAATATACAGCAGGAGACTGTTTATCATAATTCTGTGGTAATCCGATGGATTGCCCCCGGAACGGCCATTCCGACGCAGGTTCCTCTAGGGCCTCTAGTGGCCATAGAAGTGTTTTTGAAGAAACCCCTGCAATATGGTTATGAAAATTCAAGAATTTACAGCAGGAGACTGTTTATCATAATTTTGTGGTCATCCGATGGATTTCCCCCGGAACGGCCATTCCACCGCAGGTTCCCGTAGGGCCTCTAGTGGCCATAGAAGTGTTTGGGAAGAAACCCCTGCAATATGGGTATCAAAATTCAAGAATTTACAGCAGGAGACTGTTTATCATAATTTTGTGGTCATCCGATGGATTGTCCCCGGACGGCCATTTCAGAGTAGCTTCTTGTAGGACCTCTAGTGGCCATAGATGTGTTTGGGAAGAGACCCCTGCAATATGGGTATCAAAATTCATGAATTTACAGCAGGAGACTGTTTATCATAATTTTGTGGTCATCCGATGGATGGTCCCCGGGACGGCCATTCTGGAGTAGGTTCCCGTAGGGCCTCTAGTGGCCATAGAAGTGTTTGGGAAGAAACCCCTGCAATATGGGTATCAAAATTCATGAATTTCAAGCAGGAGACTGTTTATCATAATTTTGTGATCATCCGATGGATGGTCCACGGGACGGCCATTTCGTATTATGTTCCCGTAGGGCCTCTAGTGGCCATAGAAGAAACCCCTGCAATATGGGTATCAAAATTCATGAATTTCTAGCAGGAGACTGTTTATCATAATTTTGTGATCATCCGATGGATTGTCCCCGGGACGGCCATTCCGGAGTAGGTTCCCGTAGGGCCTCTATTGGAGGCCTCTAGTGACCATAGAAATGTGTTTGTGCAATGTCATCTATATGTGCAACTACCCTACCCACTGTACCATTACAATTACAATTACAATAAAATTTAAATTAAACAGTGTCAATTGGCAATTAATTTTAAGGAATGTAGGAAATGTCGAAATTGGTATAGACGTGTTCTACAAAATTTTAACAGAAATAATTTCGGAAGAAATTCCTTTGAAGAAAAAAAGACGCAACAGCAACACACAAAATCCAGTCTGGTATAACAGACAAATAAGAAACTTGAAAAATCGGAAGCAAAAAGCACATAAAATTTATAAAAAACACAATAGTAGTAATAATTTATTAATTTATTTGGATCTATGCGATCAACTGAATTTAGCTATCAGTACTGCATTTGAAGAATATAATGCAAAAACAGAACATGAAATAAAGTCCTGTCCAAAGAACTTCTTTAATTACGTAAAAACCAAATTAAAATCTGACAATTTTCCTTCAATAATGCAACTCGACGAAAATGTCGGTGATAGCTCGGAAAAAAACTGCCATCTATTTGCAAAATTTTTTCAAGAAATCTATACGACATTTTCTGAAGAAGATCGCGACCGCGATTATTTTGCATTTTTTCCAGAATTTTCAAGGGACATTGGCCTCAATCAACTTCAAGTGCAGGATAGTTTGCAGGCTTTAAAAAATTTAGACTCCTCAAAAGGTCCTGGACCTGACGGAATTCCTCCAGTTTTTATTAAATGTCTAGCAATGGAACTCACTGCTCCATTGTTCTGGATTTTTAATATGTCCCTGGAATCTGGAACCTTCCCAAAAACTTGGAAAAGCTCATTCCTAGTGCCTATCTTTAAATCTGGCCGAAAATCTGACGTACGTAATTATCGTGGTATAGCCATTATCTCTTGCATTCCTAAACTTTTCGAGGCAATTGTCAACGAAAAATTATTTCTCCAAATCAAAAATAGAATTACTGACATGCAACACGGCTTTTTCAAGGGTCGCTCGACCTCGACAAATTTACTTGAATTTATAGACTATTCATTGAATGCAATGGATAATGGAAACCACGTAGAAGCTCTCTATACAGACTTTAGCAAGGCATTTGACCGCATAGACATACCAATGCTACTTTTTAAATTGCAAAAAATTGGAATTGAATCAGGGCTCCTAAAATGGCTTGAATCATATTTAACTAACCGCCAACAAATAATTAAATTCAACGGAAAGAAATCGAGTCCAATTCAAGTCACTTCAGGCGTCCCCCAAGGCTCTCATTTGGGACCTTTTCTTTTTATTCTATACGTAAACGACATTTATTTCATTCTCAAAAAACTTAAATGTCTTATTTATGCCGACGACATGAAGCTCTTTTTAGAAATAAGAAATGAAGAAGACATCAATATATTCCGGAATGAAATACACATATTCTACATATGGTGCAAAAAAAGTCTACTAGAATTGAATGTAAAAAAATGTAACTTAATATCATTTAGCAGGAAAAGAACAACTTCAAATATTTCAATTGCACTAGGAAATCAAAATGTAGAAAAATGTGAAAGAGTTAGGGATTTAGGAATTATCTTAGACTCTAAGCTAACTTTCATAGACCATTACAACACAATTATTCACAGGGCAAATAACATGCTAGGCTTTATCAAGCGCTTTTGCTATAACTTTCAGGACCCATACACAATTAAAACACTATATATCGCCTATGTGAGGTCAATACTGGAATATTTCAGCATTGTATGGTCTCCTTTTTCAATCACGCACGAAGAAAGATTAGAATCCGTACAAAAACAATTTCTATTATACGCTCTTCGTAAATTAGGTTGGACATCATTTCCTCTTCCATCATATCAAGCACGCTGCATGCTTATAAACATACAAACATTAAAAGAGCGTCGTGAATATGCAATGGTTTCATTTGTAAACGATATCGTTTCGCAACGCATTGACTCCACAGAACTTTTATCAAAATTAAATTTCCATGCACCTACTCGGCAACTCCGAAATCGAAATTTATTTGCCATAAAACATCATCGTACAAATTATGCAAAATATGGGCCATTAAACCGCATGATGGCCTCTTACAATCAATACTGCGAAACCATTAACTTTACAATGTCTCGGCATAAACTAAAACAATATTTTTACTCCATAAGGCATTATAACTCATAAAAAATAGGAAAGCTGACACTGCTTAATTTTTATTAAAGAAAAAATTATACTTTTAACCTTTTGTCCAAAGTTGACGAAATAAATAAATAAATTTAAGAAAACAAAACTGTATTCTAATATGTGCTAGTCTACGTTGGTTGACGAAATAAATAAATAAATAAATAAAATAAATATACAAAACAAAACAACAATAAATTAGTAGCTCGTATGCCTCCGCCATGGCAGGACGGCGATGCAATCGGCGCTTTTCATTGCTATCCGTCTCGATCGGCAATTGACAATTGAAAGATAAACAAATAAACACAACGTAGGGATCTCTCCCGTGCGCGATCAAAGTGTTTGGGAAGAAGCCCCTATAATATGTATCATAATTAATGACAGAACAGTTCGTTACTCGACGAAAAGTCGACTGAATTCTTTGTCAAAATTGACGCTCATATATGTCAGTCTAAGAGCACAGATCCGTCCGGACGGGAGCCACAAGTTGGCATCTGTCATATCTGCAAAAGTGGAGACATCAAGTGTAGGAAGACCAGGAAGATGTGAAGTCATGCTTAAGACCTGTGTGCAATCAGCACTGCCAATAAATTTACGATAAATGCTATTTTTTTTTTTTTTCGTTTGCTTTTTATGTGCTTGTAATTTTTTAACAATTTTTTATGAGGATTAAAAGTC